TCCTGTTTATCTTACTGTTTGTCCTTCACCCAGGGACATCCTGGACAGGACAAAAAGAAGCCCACGCTCATCTTAGACCATCATGCATTTGCACTGAGGTTCAATTTCCTCCATAATGAAGCATCTACTGAATTTAAAGAAGACAATCTGAGACATCTTCATCAGCAGCTCTCATCTCTTTGTCAAAGCTCAGCATCATTTTGTGAGGGAGTTAAAAGTAGTGAAGAGAGGAAATCACTTCATCATGTTAAAGAGATGATGACAAGAGACCAAAAGGAAAGAATAAAATAAGTGAAAAACAGAGAGCAGCAAAAAAGTCTGGATGACTGAATAAAATCATCACCATTTTTTATGTATAAAATGTGCTGCATTCAGACCAACGGCAAATACTGTGATAAAATCAGCCATCATTCAGACACATACAGCAGTTCTGTATGTTGTTTTTTCTTATTCAGCATTACATCAGGAATCACATTTAACACCAGCATCACATAAAACCCTCTGCTAATAACAGATCACGCAGAGGAATTAAAAAAAAGCTTTTAGTACCAACAATGAATCTCCATAGAAACAATCAAACCTCTGCAGAAAACGCAGCACACCAAGAGACCAGAACAATTATCCTAGCAACACGTACTGTGATCCTTCAACTTAATTAAAGCATAGACTCAATGAAGTGACATCAGAATCTACTTCTAAGACTATCGGAGAAAAGTGTGAAAGGACAGCGTCTGTTCATGAACTCCACTGCAAAACCACACCAAGAAAGAAGGGTGAGAAAACAGAAGGGCGCCATCAAGAGGCTTACCAGGGCAATTAAACACATTAAACAGTCATGTGCTCCTCTCTGGGAGCAGGCATTTAGCATATTACTTGGATAATATACATTTCTCTCACTACATTGCCCAGGTCTCCTCCTGGCAGTCAGACTAATAGTATTCCACAACAGGCTTAGACCAGATCTCCTGCAGATCTGAACAACAAACAACCCAGTAGTTTATGTAAAAACTTGTTGAAAACAAATGCTGGTAGTTTTTTTTTTTTTTTTTTTTGACAGCTTTCATCCAATGACATGTTTTTTTTTACTTTCCTAACAGTGAGGTAACTCTAGAAATGGGTTGTTTCTTGTTTTTGTTTGTTTGTTTCAGTGCAGAATTCCACACCCACACTGACTAACCTGCCTCAGGGAGGGAGGGGTGTGGCTGTGACCCTCCATCAGACAAACAGCCGTTCAGCCCCCGCTGCTGGTCCTCCCATGTTACCTCTATGGTGAGACACACGCACATGTGTATACACGTACACAACCACAGACACACATGCAGACCTACTGACAGGTTCGGACTGTGGGGTGTGAATTTTTTTGATACTTCAGGTGTAAAACATAATTTTCACAAACAATTCACATATTAAATGTTAATAAAATAAACAAAGCCACTTTGTGCTTTGATGTTAACCATGGACAGCTCCTCGACAAAGATTATTACTTTGTGCCATCTACTGGCCTTTAGCGGTATTACTATACAAAAGCTCCAACGTATTTCACTGCAAAGCACACCGTACGAAAAAGCCGTGTGCACGACACTAAATTATTATTTTTTAAACATGTGACTCAATGTATATTTGTATTGTGCAATGCAACATTATAAAAGTAGAGGTCAAAATTTCTAAAATATAAAATTTAAAACTGAAAATAAATGTCTGTTGTGAGTCTTAATGTCAAGGTGAATTTAATTTTGCAACAAAAAAGGTTTTTATGGTGGTAGAACAAATTATATATATTTTTTAAAGGCAGCAATGGCGATCAGAACCACAGCAAACTGCATGCATCATCCGTCAGTTTGAGCTCGTCCAGAGTAACTCTCTATATTTATATCCAAAGGAACCAAATACACTATTATCATTGCAAATGTATAGGCATTCAGAGCATTCAAACTGGACTGCTAACAGTTACCACTGAAACAGAAACACCACCACAGCAAACGCACACCACCACCACGCAGTTCACACCACTTGCCTTTCCTCCCATTTACTGGTGGCCCCTGGGGTTTTTCTTCACAATCAGCTGCTATGTGAAAGACACACGGAGTGCTTTAACCCACAGAACTATAAGTTCAAAGAAAATGGCAGCCCAAAATGCATGTGCTTATAATGACGTAATGCATCAGAGCTATTCCAACAGCTGAAAATGAACCTTAGATCAGTACGACTAAGGTATAATAAACCCGTGGCTCCTTACAACATAAAACATGTGGTTTAAATGAATGACAGACGTGTTTCTGTAGTCAGTTCTTCATTAAATAAACCCAAGTATTAATAAAGCATTATGAAAAGTATTTCAACCCAAGGACAAAATCAAGCAGCAGTGTTAGCTGTGTGGAACCAGGGCTCTGCCAAAAGTCTGGTTGGTCAGGGATTATACAACATGTGCAGATTACTGGTCCTCCATTATTCTCATTATTCAAAATAATTGTAAATAGTACAAAAATGTATGTACAGATAATGTTTAAAATGTGCCACTACACAAAGAGATAGTAAAGTCTGTCAACAGTTCAGTTCAGAGAGAGATAATAATATGGATCCAGTCCATAAAAACACACACACACACACATTTGCATTACATAAGCCAAGAGCCATAAGGCTCAGTGGGAGCTGCAGCACAAGGTCAGATCAATACTTTCCCCCACTGCCCACACATTACCACTGTCCTAAAAGGTACAGTACAGCCAGGTTTGTAAAAGATAAACCAAAGAGAGGGGGGGGGGGTGGAAAATAATATGTAAGGATTATTTGTACAGTAGACTGGGGAGTAGACAGAAGGGTGAAAGGAGCAGCAAAGACAGATCTTCAGAGTGATTAAGAAAGATGGCCCCAGATACAAGAAAAGGGCAGAGAAAGAGGAAATTCTCTGCAAATTTGACAGAATGTCAGCTCTCTTTCCCCCCATCTTATTACGTTAAATGTTGCCAAGTATATACTACTTTACACACAACTACACAACAGAGAAGGGAGTGCCGAGAAACTTGGTTAATAGTGATTGTTTTTTTCACAATGTCAATCTTTAGTGACCTTTCTGTAGGGGAGCATGCACCTGTTTCAGCACCACACTGTCTGTGTATGGAGGCTCACAGTCCACAAGACACACCCACTGTTCTCAAACAAATAAAATCACTACACAAAAGGCGAGGGGACACTTGAACACAACACCAGGGCTGTCATCAACAGGGCGGGACATATCCACAGGTAAGTACACCACATCCAGGCTGTACATTAAACAATGCTGCAACAGCAGGGGGGGGGGGCAAGTACACCCAGGTCCCTGCTGTTGCAGACAGGGTTTTGGCTTCAGAGTAAGGCGTGGCTCAACAGACACTCCCAGCCTGAAAGACTAAACCCACACACTCAGGTACAGACCTTCACAAGGCTCTGTTCCTTCGTCTCCATCTTCTGACAAAAAAACGGAAAAAGGAACCGAGCAGAAGTGTTACGGATTTGGGCTACAGTACACAGCCGCACACAAGACAAACTATAAATTCTTTAACAAATATTACCGCTTAGAGTTTATCGTGAAATTACAACCCAATGTTGCAGATTCAAGTAGTGAAACCAAAACTCTACCTCAATATCAAGATTCTGACCAGGAACACAAAAAGGCCGTAATAAAAGATGTGTCTCTCAGCGCGGAGAGAGCTTGTGATTTGCAATATAAAAACAGGAACGAGGGGACTTACTTCTGTCCTTCCCTGTGTGTGGAAGCTGTGGTAGTTGCCGTCCCCGTCTGCCAGATATCGGAGTACTGGTGGGACTGGTCTGGACTGATCCACTACGAGGATGCGCTCTACATGACAGAAAAAGGGAACGGACAGTGGAGTGAGATGACAGGCCGACAGTAGCTGGTGGTGGGTGGACCACGTCACCAGGACACATCCACCATCATCAGAGTGAGAAAAGTTAAAAACAAAAAGATAAAACATAACCAAAGACACAGCTGTTTGTTTGATAAAACAAATCAAATGAAAAGTCTATTTTATATCAACGAAAACTTCCTTGTTCACAGTCAAACTATATAAAGCAGTAAATGCTAAACGTCTTTTCTTCTCCCTTTACCAGAATCAACATATTTGACTACATGAAGTTTAAGTGATTTTCTTTTAAAATAGAAGACGTTTGTATAACAAATATAAAATCAGTGTACACAGCAATGAGGTTTGGCACATGACATGGAAGTGGGGGGGGGGGCATCAACTATTAGGAATAGGGCTGCAATAAAAAATGATGCCGTGAATCGCATGTGCAGTCGACTCATCAAGCTGCAAGAAGAGAAGAGTTGAATGCAGGAAACAGCAGACCAGTGCGACCATGCGTTCATACGTGTCCCCAAAAGCCTTCAAATCAAAACCAAAAGGAGAAATAAAGTATAACACAAATGCCATCACTGGTTAATCGGCATTATTTGATGTTAGTAATGAAATCAAAGGAAAACGTCGGCCCAACACTGCTATACTCACGCAAAAGTATGAGCAGCGTGTTCCAAATAAAAACAACTCAGTCGGTTATCTACGGAGGGGTCGGGGGGCCTGGGGGGGTGTTGTGCCTGGGATGTGTGTAATATAAGAAAATACAGCACCGGGGCTTTTGGGAACAAAACAGAAAGTAGCTAAGGTGGGTGGAGGGGGGAACTGAGATGAATAGGCGTGTTAAGGGTGAGGTGATGTGGGAGGACAAAAGGGAGCAGGGAGTCAGTCCTGAAGGGAGGGAGGGAGGACGGGTGATGGTAGAAATGAAGTCCCTCTCTGGGTCATTCTTAGTCATGTTCAGGGAAGGTGGGCAATGATGGAGCCCGGGCTTTAATTCCTCAGTTGTACAAAAAGGTAGAGTTATGTAAACGGTTAGCTAAAGTGGAGCAGCTCTGGGGGCAGAAATAATCTCCATGACTGATTAAAGATTTGAGTTATAATTAACTAGAGCAGACTGCTAGATTATAACAGAAGCCTCTCAATACACCAGCTGGTCTAAAGAGTTCATTATGAATGACTGTATGTGGATAACTATGTGATCAACTGCAAAAATGACTGGACGTTTTTGTGTATTTTGGCAGTCGAAAACTTTAAAGAGTCACTTTCCTTCAGTTACTGTCATTCAAAGGTAATGTTTGAATTCATTCTCCCCCCAGAGTTGCCCCTCCCCAGGGTAATTGTTGCCCTTCTACAACTCCATTCGCTTTTGTGCAAAGCAGCTTAACGTCTCCAATCTGGGTCACACCTCGTCATGGCAGGTGAGGGGGGAGCGGATCTCCCTGATGGCAGAGACGGCATGGACCTCATGAGCGAAGAGTCGAGGGGGCGTTCAGTGGAGCGCGAGCGAGAGGAGGGGCGCTCTATAGTGGGCCGCTGGTCTGCGGAGCGGGATCTGCTGTGATACTCGTGTCTATCCATGGATCCGTGGTTCCTACAGAGGTTAGTGAGAGATAGGCAGGCACTCAGTTGGACCCCAGCAGGGCAGCCACAGTAGGCTGGCAGGGTGGCAGTTTGGAGGCCACACACGTGGAGTTCCTGTTAGCTTACGACTGCTAGGATGTGTATGTGGTAAATTACTGCAGAATTTCAATGGAATATTCCTATAAATGATCATGGAGAATAAGTGAAAAGATTTTAAGATCTAAATTCAAACATTCCAGAAAATGATTATACATGACATGTTATTTCTCATAATGATTGACACATTAATAAAATAAAATAGGAGTAATAAAATAAAAAATATTAAAAAGAACCCTCAGTCTAAGAAAAGATATTTGAACTCACACCTATGTTATTTAAGGGCAGTGGTTCCTAAATACAGTATAGTATTCTACAGTAAGATTCCAACAAGATCTTTGCAAATGATAAAAAAAATACTGATAGTACTTAGAGGATAGGAAAGTAGGTATAAAAAAGGTATAAAAAGGAAAGGAGAAAAAGCATCTTTAAATTGAAGAGTGTTGGTTAATTTTTAAATGTATCCACCATTTTAAATACCCAACTCTTATATTATAATAGCAGATTTTCCCCAGAGCTGTTGAGGAAAAAACACATGAAATACACAAGGTTCTGAAACATTTTGAGCTGGAAACACAAAGTTGAACAAACACTCTGACGTATGTGGCACCAAACTGCTTTTTTAAAATCAATGACAAGGAAATGTGTATCTTAAGAGAACATGAACATTAGTCACATAATAAAATAATACTTTTCAGCACCAGGTTTTAATACAATGACCCCATTTTTTTAAATTCAATGCCTCATCCCAAACCAGTGAAGACATGTAATTGTCTCCAAAGTACTTCATCAAATAAGGCTAACAGATACTCAGGATACAATAAACTGTAGTATGATCAATGTGTTCTTATGCGGAATTTTTGCACAGGTCTCTGTTGAAAAGAGGTTTTACATCTCGATAAGACTCCATCTGTTGAAATTAAAGAATAATAAAAGGAAACCAAAGACATTGAGAACAACTTACATACAGCATGAGTTGTTGTTTTTTTTTTGTTTTTTTTGCCCTTGTCTTTTTGTGATGCATAATTTAGCAGCGAACGAAGAATACTCAAATCTACTGTGCAGCTCAGAGCAAAGCATCAGCGATGCTTCTGTACGTGTCGATGGTAAGCTGCTGCAAGTAGTACAGAAAAACAAAAACAGGACAGGACTGGTGATGTCATCATGCACACCACTAATTAACGCACCAGGGCAGAGAAACAATGAGAACAACGTAGAAACAGTCGGCACTCGACTTTACAGGTGACAACAGCTACACAAAAAGCTCTGAGCCCCGGTCGCCGGGGCAGTTGTGTTCAATGACCGTAAATCTACACAACGTCAGAGCTGTGATGACTTGAATATCGGTGACAGATATTATTTTTCATCATCACACAAATGACCACGGATAAATTAAAACCGGACGAGGGACAATTTGGGGTAGACCACAAGATGGCGAATGCACAGATGCAGCTGCAGTGCATGTCAATACCTCTCATAGTCATAGTCAGAAGAGTAGGCGCCCTCTGAGTTAGCACGGGACATCCGAGTGGAACGCAGTAACCTGACTGCTTCCTCTCTGCAGATTGGATACACGTGATGGTTGCGGCTGGTGGGAAAACACCATAAGTCAAAGTTTGACTTTTTGTCCTTTTCATTAACTCAAAGCAACTATTTGAAATTGGGTGCCAGTCATTGGAAGGATTCCTGTATAAAATATATACTGCACTGGTTTCCAGATTGAAATCAATGACAAACAGAAAAATGCCTTTGTGACAACTATCAGTGTTGGCTTATTCCCTTTTGAATGGTAAAAATTAGAAGTAAAGATGATGTGTATGTCATGAAAAGTCATGAAAAAAAGAGAAAGAAAAAAAGAAAGATGCAGCATCTTTGCAATGACTTCCTGCAATAGACCAAATCTTTCTATCCTGACTGTGATCAGCATCATAGGTTGATGATCAGGATATTAAGTAAAAAAGCAGAAAAAAACAAAACAATTTTACACATCACAATAGCTGTCAGCTTACTTGCTAACAGCAAAACAAAGAATCGTCTTCTTAACTCAAAACTTGGTGTGAAGTTTATCAGTAGAACCAGCAGTGTTAACTTCAGGTCACTGCATGTGACTGCAGTAGTGTGTCATTCTAAATACTGAATGTTTCTTTTTAGTAGAACAGGTTAAACACATTACCACACTGTCTTCTTCAGCCTTCTTCAGTTTGACATCTTCATTCATTGTATTTTACACTGATTCATTTAAATAGTTGAAAGAGTGAATGTTATTAGATATATATAAGTTAAGCATACAAACATTATCTATTTTGTGTTACAATGCATCTGTTATATAAACACATGGCATAGACAACATGTCATGTTTACACAGCCATTATTTAGTAATTATTCTGGACAAAACACAGTGGATTCGGATGTGAAGCCAAAGCCTCTTTGTGATCACATGACCTGACAGACAACATGCCAAAGTCTCGCTTCCATGTGTCTAAACGTACACAAGTGAATATTTTCTTTTGTGTGTAGGTGTGGTTTTTGGGGCTTCATGCAATCTCAGGTAAAAGTCTACCTGTGGTCCTTCTGACGGTCATCAAAAGGCTGAGAATGTCTGGTTCGAGGTAAGGTGAGGAAATGGCTGCAAACACATGGAAGGAAGAAGAGAAAACAGAGATGGATCTGAAATGGTGTGGAAAAAGGAGAGAGAGAGAGAGAGAGAGCGCTACAGAGAGAGCGTTGGAGACAATGTAGTGTAGGCAGAACGAGGGAGAGGTGAGAAAACTGAGGAGAAGAGAGGACGAGAGAGTTGTCAAAATAATGGCATGTAGAAATGGATGAGACGGCTCACAGGAAAGGTCGATGTAACAGATTCAAACAGGAAAAACAGAGGAGAGGCAGAGAAACTCGGAGGTGACGAACATAATGGCGATGTCCTCCTCAACTCTGTTTATTGTAATAGTTCGGGATAAATACCTGGACACTGTCAAGTACACTAACGTGAGCACTGCACCGGACAATTAATATAAGTGCTTTTTTTTGTTTCTGATAATGACTTAGGCCGACGCCCGGAAACAGCAAATAACGTTAATCGGTGAAGTAAGTGTGGCCAGGCGGTGCCAAGACGATGCTTGGACTCCTGGAGCAACATTTTCCAGCTATTTTCCGGCAAAATAAATGCTGATGAAGGGGTTTTCACTGCTTTCTCTTCCATCAAATAAAAATGGAGAGAATCATGCAAATACAGCAAGACGTCTGCAGCTCCTTGGACTTCATGAAGGATCAACTCTCTTGTCACTTAAAATAAATATTTGTAATTTATACTAGTGAATATTTGATCTCCACTCAACTTTCAGGTTTTGGGAACAACTTATTGTTGGTTAAAGGAGCAATTACTTGAAAAGCTGGTAGACCATAACTTTCTGATCTGTGTCAGTGTGTGAACAAAGATGTGTGTGACAAAGATGGACCAGTTTACACATACAGTAACACAGTTTACCGGTTTGAAGAAGGCAATCGTGGCATTTAAGGCTAAAATGTTCCCTTTATCAAAAACATCATTATGATACTTTAATGATTATATAAGATTTATAGGTAAAGGATAAATGTGTAGCAAAGGTAGTTACCTGGAGGGAGGGGGAACACTGGGGGACCGTGACCGTGCCCTGTTGATATCAGCCGACCTGGAGCAGTGGTTAGAGGACATCACCTGCTCAGGGACCGACAACGTGGAGCTCTGGAAATCTCTGCCATTCGACCGGTAATCTGTCAAAGAATTGTTTAAAGTGTTTAGAAAAAAAATAACCAACTATAGTGTTAATATTATAGTTGAACATGCAGCTGTGAAAACATCACATCTGGTGAAGCCAAACTGTGCCAGGCCTCAGACTGAACAGGTGACAGCTTCTCTGTTTCCATTTTGCTGAATGGCCATATTCTCCAAAATGGAGAACTTTAATAAAAGGTGAAATTCATCTGCTGTGTTAACTGTGTGCATTAAATGAAAATGGCCTTTCAAAAAAAAAATCAGAAACATTATGATTAATTTTCTTTGCTTGACTGATTAGTCCATTTAAATTTTAATAGTTCATTAATTGGTAATCAGAAGCTTCGGTTAAGGTCAGCCTTATAAGAGGTTGATTGATATTCAATAGAGCATATAGTGCGTTAAAATGAATTTTAATGTTGGAGGAAGAAGAGAAAGGAACACTGTAAGGTAATATTGAAGAAATGTTGACCTTTACTTACAGAAAGTGAATTTTTAAGTACAACACATGAGCCACGAGTCTGTAAACTATTATTATAAAACAGTAGTCCAGGGGAATTTTGTTTCTTACAGATTTAACGTCACATTTGTCATTTAATGTAGAGCACATTTGCATTTTTGACAACTTTATCATATATAATAAGAAAATAGACAATAAATAAACACAGTTCTGTGTGACTTTATGTTTTAAGTCTGAGTTTGTGCCAACTGTGGTGAACTGATACTGAGGGAAGAGGTTCAGATAAAGTTGCATGAAGGTCTTCCCACATGAATGAAGTGAACAGAACAGACAGGTTGATGAACTGAGGAGCTGAAGGAAGGTTCAAGGTTTTGGAGGAGGTTTTCCCCACAGCTGGTAAATCCTCTCACCCAGACACATACGTTCCTCTCTCCCTCGATCTGTCAGTAACTGAATCAATCTTTGGTGGTTTTTTTTGTTTTGTTTGTTTGTTTTTTTCTGTCCTTCTTCTTCTCGATGGCTTGAACGAGCTAACAGAAGTGTGAAACTTGACCACATGCTGGACTACATGTTTCAGTAGCTATTAGCTTAACTTCTCTGGTATGGAAGATATTAACTAAAAAAATATCTTGACATTTTTTATCATTTACAATTTAATTGTGAATAACTTAAAGCCGGAGCATTTGTGTGTGTAATTTATTCAGTCTTTCTTTCACTTTCTCTGCGACTCTGAGCGCTCACTGCTCTGCTTCCTCTTTTGTAAATGCTGATGCATTGACAAGCCTCAGTGAGTACAGCAAAGCAGAATATAGCAGTGCAGAGGCAGACAAAAACCCACTGTTCACTCACCAAGCTGCTGCTGCTGCTGCTCTTGGACTGCAGCAATTTACCCAACTGATGGTTTGAGCGAGCTCATCAGTCCTTGTATTCAGTGAGAACTGCTAAGAAAACCATCCTCATGTTAAACAAGTAAAGAGAACATGTATTTACCTGTTATTACTCCGACACCGTCTTCACAATCGTAGTCTGAGATCTCACTGTCACTTATCCTCTGGGATCCTGTGGGAAAAACAGGAAAGACAGGCAGATGAGTGAAGACACAGAGGGAGGAAGGAGTTAGGGAACGGAGTGAGGTGAAGGATGGAAGGACAGGAATGTGTCTAAATATTTTGTTTTTGTTCTGCTGCGACACAAGTTTTAAACTGTTCTCTGAATCAAAATGAAGAGCCTGAAAATAATCAAAAAAGTCTTCATAATTAAATAGGTAGAAGTATTTTGGTGCAATATATGTCCTCATCCCTCTGAGTAGATTCAACATTATTTCTCGCCACCTTGAGGTCAAAGGTCTTCAGCCATTTTTCTTCTTCTGCACTCCTAGTCACTGCGTAATATATGTGAATAACATATATTATTAATAATAATTAAGAGATTAACTACATGTTCAAATATACCAAAGTGACATAATTAATGTTCATAATTATTTTTAAAAAATCATGAAAGGTTGTCCTGCTTTTAGTAGATATTAGGTTATGTGTCAACTGGTTTTACAGCTGTGAAGGACATAACTGCCACATAAAGTGATCTCAACCCGTCGTATGAGTTGAGTTGAAACTTCTGACAGTGTCAAACAAATCACAACAACACACTAACACTCAGAAATCATCCTGTAGTGAAGTGAGTAATCCCGAGAAAAAAAAAATCTAAGGATTAGAGCACATTGATCTAAATCCCTTTAATCCAGGACATTGTCAGAAAGTATTAAACTGACCAGTGCAGATCCATAAATGTAAAAGAATTTAAAGAAATGCACCAACTGGAGTAAACTGCCATATCAAAACACACAAACACGGGCAAAACAAAAAGGACTGCAGATGGTTGACCATTACACACGTTTAAAGGGAAAAATGTTTAAAATAGGAAACATGTAACAACGCATCACATGGGAAAATTAAAGGATCAGTCAGATTATGATGAGCACTGGTCACAGGGTAAGGTTATGGGTAGAACGGTGCCATGTAGATCAGATCAGTACACATAAGGGAATGACTATTGTGTTCCACGTCTCTCTTTTCTATGGAGTGTGCAGATCTCTGTCCCTGAGTAGATTCCAAAGGAGTGTTGTAAAGTTTACACCATCTCATTGCATTGAAATCTACATCAGGCCCGAACAAGCACTGTCCATGGAAATACACAGAAGGAGAGACAGGACACAAGCTATGAGGTTTTCAACAGGACAGGAAAACACTCAGAGCAGAACCACCTGCTGCAGCAGTGCTCCTTTACCTGAGTTGTTAGAGCCTTTGTCTGTAAAAGCACAAGCAGTAGAGTTGATGTAACACGGATGCAGAGTTTGTATTCACTACACAGCCTTAAATAAACTCAAACATTAGGAGGTTAATAAGTAAGGTGACTTATTTATGTCTCATTAGCAGAGGGAAAACACATTTTTAATTTTAAATATAAACACGTTTAAATTTTAATGCTCTGGTTTTTTACTTTAGCTTGAAATGTTAACCCTTTCAAACTGTTATTACATCTTTAAAAACATTAATTTGGGGCGTAACAATATGATTACTCGTACAAGTTGCAAACGTCACAGTTTTGCAACTTTTTGGTAGAGAATTAAATGTGGAAAAACAGTGGTAGTGCAGTTTACTGGAATATTTTAGTCTTTCCGAGCATTAAAAAGATTACTTTATTGAGTGTATAAGGCTAATCTATGCTAACCACTAACTAATGTAAAGTTGCTGTAGACAATTGAACGACTCCCACGGTTGGTTGCCGTCACAATTGTGTTCCACGGGGAGTTTAAAGTTTGATCTGCTCTGCTTTACTACATTTTGTACTATAAATTCATCTGGTACACGTGTGTATTTGTACTGAATATCCTGTACCAAACTGCTTGGTTTAAACCATTGCACCTCTAGTAATTATATATAAATAAAATAAATTGAATTTATTATAATATTCTCACAGTAAAACTGCACGTTAGTACCATGTCTGATGTATATAATGTATAAAGATATAGCACAACAATTCAAGTCTGGGGTTTCTGTTTATCTGTCCAGTGCTACTGTACATAAAGGCAGCCTCCCTGGTGTGTGTTATTGTTACTTACTCTGCAGTCTCCTTGTTGGACTCTCCCCATGGAGCCTGCGTTGTGTGTTTGGGGAGGCACGTGGGAGTGGGATGGAGGACACATCGTGTGTTTGTAGCTTGTACCAGTGTGGCTCGTCATCCAAAAGTGCAGTCTCCAACTCTATTAGAATCTGTCAGGAGGAAGAGCCAACGCCACTTAGGGGTAGAACTCATTGCCTAACAAACCAAGTCCCACTGCTGCTACAATTTCACACTGATAATAATTATTGCAAAAATCTCCCAGATCCTGTTGGACACAGACTGGGCTCTGAAAAAACTTGGCCAAGGATTTTACTCCAATCAGGAGGTGAATATTATAAGTGAGTGTCCTTTAGGCTGCAGTCATGGTTTCCTTACCTCACCCAGGAATTCACTCTCCTCTTCTCTCACCCTGGCTTGGTCCCACAACGTAATCTCCAGCATGCGCTCTCTGAACTCCCGCCGGTGCACCGGCGAGTACATAAAGGTCTGGTTCCACTTAGGCTCTAAGGATTTCTTTACAGTTTTTGTTCTCCTCTTGCTTTTGTCGCTGGAGGAACAATAATTCAAACTGTTTTTATTTACAACCATGGTAGAGAAGAACCACGATCACAACACATCAACGACAGGACAGAACCCAGGCCTGAGGCATGCTGATGCTACAGTGGTCACATAAACCTTTAGAGGGCGCTTCTACTCTTACCTTCTATCAGGGAGGAAATAGATTTTGACATAAGGATTCCTGGGTCGACCATCTTCCCTGGGTGGCAGATCTTTGGCGCCCAGGATGGTGACAATTAGTTGATGGCCAACTTTGTCATACCATAGTTTGACCTGTAGGGGCAGAGCAAAACATTTCTAGCTAAGAGACAGATCAAAGCCACAATGTTTACCAGAGAGAAATCAAAGAGGAACGATGCAGGAGAAGACAATTTGATAAGTTAGAAATGACATGACTGCATGTGGCATTGTGACACAAATTTAAAGCCTTAAACCAACAGATCTGGACTTGAACTGATGGTCTTCTCCTGGATTCCCTCTTGAGGACAGAGGAAGATGTCCACCTGGTTTGTCAGAATTATAAGAATATTGATAATGTTGCATTGTATTAGCAAATATATGAAATATGAAAAGATACACTAAAACAATAAATCAAGTGAGATGTTTTTTTGTTTGTGATAACTAAAATATAATTGTTGTTGTATGTTGACAATATTTAAATAAAGGCTGGAATTTGTTTGGCTGGGTTTGGAAGTAGTCCTGTGTTTAAGAGGTTTATGTCAAAATGATTACTGTTATTTTTTAGTAACAGAACAGGATCCTGTCCTGAAGGGTCTGTGGTCCCAACTGTTACTTTCACATTCTTTAAAAGTTACAAAAATTCCAACACATATTAGGAGGCAAAAAACTGTACCCAGTCGTATGTTTTCTTTTGCATTGCACTTCAGCTTCTACTTTCTTAATCTAATTATAAAATAATTAATTCACATTAATGACCTTGAAATTCTAACATAAAACTTCCTTGTAAAATGTTTAAGGTATTCAGGCCTCCACTCACACAGACCTAGGTCCAAAACCAGCAAACTTCTTCTTCTGGTAAATACAGATGGGCTTCATTCATTTCTCACATACAACATATGGCTCTGTCACTGTCACCCACCAATAATTCATTATGATTATCAAATGGATTGTGTCTGTCATTCTGACTGAAGCTAAATGGTATTTTAAATGTTACTGTCTGCCAGTAGTGGTGATGATGCATCTAATAATATTCCTTCAGATTCCCGATGGACATTGATGTAGAGAAATCAATCATGCTGTAGCGAGGGATAACAGAGAAGTATGGACTCCAAAGAAGGCACTTAGAAGAAGGAGAGAACATCCAGAGGAAGCCTCGGAGGAAATAGATGAAATGAGGGGGAAAAAAACCTTCTAAGCTCTTGTCCATACTTCATAGAGAGAATATGATTATGAAAAGGGTTTTCACGCTGCTCAAAGCTCCCAGCTCTGCATGCAGCAACGCAACAAAGGCCATTCAAGGGAGAACAAGACAGCACACAGTTTATTTTAAAAGAAGCTGAGCGTATGTAAACATCGAACGTCTTCTTTAAACCTGCTAACATTTATTGTACCTCAGCGGCTTTAAGACAAAGGAGGTGAAGTTTGTTTATTTCAAAGATGAATGTCAGCAGCCAGGGCACAACCAAGCCCACAGACCACGTTTATCAACCACCCCGGTGATTTTGCACCAATATATGGGCAGTAGACAACAGCACTGACGACAGGGACAGGAGTCACACAGCAGTGGCGTCAGATTTTTAGCTGCAGGTATTTTATCCTAACCCATGTTTTAGTTTCCCATTTTTATCAATCCTACCCACAAAGAATACACAATAACCAATAACCAAAAAAACAGGAACAAAGTTCTCTCTTTGTTAAAGCAATACAACCTTCACATCCCAATGTACCAACATACAGTAAGTTCTACAGAGCTCAACTCTGTTAGTAGTTAATAGTAGTTAATTAACATTATCTATCTCACTTTTAATGTATTTACATGCTTTAGCCACGTTAAAAAAAAATCACAAATAATCTGAGGATGAAAAAATGACCTGAATGTCTAGGAGTCATCACAGATGAGAACTACTGATGTAACCAAACTTATATTAATCAAGGTCCAAGTCATTTTATTAAGAACAAATAGCGCAAAACATTCCCTTTTTGCAGTAGTTGGAATCTCATTAAATAAATTAAAGCACCAGAAAATCAATTCACTGGACTCATTAGGAAAACCAGGCAATAAAGAGTATTTCTGTTTGTATTAAATGTGTTCAGATTAGTCGAGCATGCAGCACCTGAGGGCAGTGATGTTCATGGGTTAATGTGAGTAGTATCAATATCATCAAAGCAGTGATATCAAGAAATCAAAGAGAAGAAAATGGCACAATGCACTGCACTGAGGGAAACTCGAAGCTGCCATTTCCCTGAGAAATGCATTTTCCAAAGTATGGAAACAGAAAATTAGGCCAGTCAACAGTCAATGAGCAAAGACCAAATAGAGATTGTGCCCTGCAGACAGGACCCATTACCTGGACCCTAGGGGCAAAAGGCGTTGTTCTTCTACTAAGGCTTTGGCTCTGGATAAGCACAAAAGTCAACGGCAAAAAAGGAAAAAAAATATAAAAAAAATAACACAAAACAGAAAATGCAATCAAACCGAAACGTTGACGAAACAATGACAAAAACTTACAATGTACTGTATAAACACGTGACAGAGTGAGGTCACTGGGTGTTTGCTGTCCCACTATATTAACATGTGCTTTGAAACTTATACCTTTTGAATCAATATTGACTATATCTGACCACCTTATCTCATTAGTAGCCTCAACAGCATGTCCCACTGATTAAAGGTTAATTAGGTTAATTAGCATTTGACTTTAATGGACAGAAAATAGCAGTGGTTCCCTTTCTGCAGAGAAAATCCTTTCTCCACAAAATTCTCATTAAGCAACGGAAATAAAATTATAACTAAGTAACACTGTAAATAAATACAGAACAGGTTAAATCTTAATAGCCCCGCGCCCCCCAATTTGGGAACCACTGATCTATAGTAAACAAGTATCCAGGCTGGTAAAATATTCCTTTTTAATTTCATGACAGTGTGTGATCTAGTGTAAGTACACTAAAGGGTGAATATTTGACTCAGAAATTGTCAAAGAAAACTGAAACTAAAGCTCTCTTCCTACTGGATACTCAATTTCAGTGTTGATTTATTTCTTGTTTAAATGCAAACTTTAACACTAACTACTCAAGAAGCGACTTAATACTGATAATGGATAACACACAGTACATATCCAGTCAAACAAACACAAGTCAAAAATAATCTTACAGTTGCTATTGTTGAATGAGTGCAGCATTGGTTAAGACAATGGAACAGAAGAAATTGTACAAAGTGTGTTTTTACGCATTTACTTACTGAGAGTTGTCCTGACAGGTACTGGGGGGCATCCCTCAGCACATTCGGACTCATGGGGGATGTGACAGAGATGGACGGACGATCCATCTTCTGAGACTCAAAAGAACTTGAACCTGACAAAAAACAGAGCACAGTAAGGATTACAGAAAATTCTATCCGTTTTCCTTGTTAAAATTAAATAGCATCATTATGCTGTCACCTGTATCATTGTGATAATGAATCATAAATGCTAAGACTCACTTGATTCCAGTTGTGCATGTGTGCTGTCTGGTATCCTTGGAATATCTCTGGAAAAGGATGGCAGCAGTGAAAAGGATTATTAGGATTATTAGCACAACAAAATGTTCTTACCTAGATGTAATAAAAATAAACACCTTAACACAATGAGAACATAATTTGTTATTTTCAATGTTTTTTTTAATAAATATATATATTTGATTAAGAGCTAAAACAAATTCATCGACACGCATCTGCATGGCTTATTAGATCTTATGTAGACAACAGTACAGTTAACATTACACTGTCTTTTGGAAAGAACTATGTCAATGCAGTTATTGGTAAACCCTCACCCTATAGGCCGTGAGACCACCAACTCCACTTGCGGCTCAGGCTTTGATTCTAGTATGATATTGTAAACTTCTTTAAATGTGGCTCCTTGTAAAAGCTTCCCATTCCACTCCAGCACCTGATCACCTGAAAAACAGCAGCATGAACACATCAACATGACACAAACTGTGTTGTATGTTCGACCTATATATTTCCATCATGACATGGTATTTACAGACATTGAGTTTGGTTTTATCATGTTATACCTGGTCTGAGGTGTCCAACAGTGTCTGCTAGACTCCCCTTTCTCACTTTAGTGATGAAAGCACAAAGTCTACCAGATTCTGTCATCTTGCCTCCCACCACCTGTAGAAGCAGAGAAACGACAGGGTTAGGAGTTAGGTTCCTTTTTAACCTTGTTGTTGCTGTGGCTTTATTAAAACATATACTAGGTTATCTGCCTATAGAGTAAATCCCCTGTCCAGAGCCTATGGTACAGAGATGAAGGTCTGATGTCCACTCTGCTTAGTCCACAGCACATGGGCACCATAGAAATAATAATAATAAAAAATCCCTCCTAATGGCAGCTGAATGCAAACATATAAAGGAGCTTAGTGAGGTCTGCTAATTGAAATTGCTTTATGTAACAGACAATAGCTGGGGAGAGATGCTCACAAAAGGAGGAGAGAGATGGGGGAGGGAGGGAAGCAGTAAGGGAGACAGGGCAGAAAGGGCGAGGCTGGCAGCCCCACTGATGGACTGACAGACTCGATGGTCAAGCTGGTTGACTGCTGCTGAGCAGACAGAAATGCACTGAGGCACTCAGCAGACACAAGCATGCCATTTCAGGAGGTTCATTCAATCAGTAATGATTTTTTTTTTCCTTCTCTTGCTGCTCGTTCCCCTCATTGCACATCAAGCTGCTCTTGATTTTTTTTTTCTCTTAATGATGCAGCATGCACCATCCACAGACTTAAAGGGCCAACAGAAAATATTTTACATACTATTTTACAATGGAATGTAAAGATGTTATTTAATACAGAAGTAACAATTATGATGAAATTACAATGATACAAATCAAATCACTGACTGATATTATACTGACAATTTTAATACAGTTGTAGAATTAGTTCAATGTGAGTGCATTCATAAATTATGGAGCTCAATGATAATAGCTTCTCATGAATATTCATCAAGATTATAATAAACACATTATCACACATGCTGAATGTTTATAGCTCCTACAATATTGTAACAATGAGGGACAAAACACATTGCTCTACAAAGCCCACTTATTTAGAATAATCAGGGCAGATTCAATACAGCCTCTGCGATATATTTTTACATACACACGTGTGTGTGTGTGTGTATTAAATATTTAATCCACCTGTAATTGGACATTACATATATTGTCCATACAGATCCATATCAATATCTACACAGAGGAGCTGAATGTGACACAAAACTTATTCATGGGTTTCCATTAAATCCAAAACAGGGCATGTTTAAATTTTACGAGAAGATAATTTGGCCCTATGTTATTGTCACACCATCCCCTTAAAAATGTAGAGCTCTTAAAAAATAAAAAATAAAAAACAACTAACCTAATGAACTGAGCTTACCTTCAGACCAAGCAGAGCTCCTGAGTCTCGAGGAACACTTCCATCTTTCATTCGCTTGTTGAGCAAAATACGCCCAATCAGACGATCCCCATCTTTGGACGGTTGCCACGTCACCGGGTGCTACAACGTCAGAGCAACATACAACTTTAGCCTAGAAACACATCTGTGAACCTAAACACTTAGAATCATACAGATAAGTGTTGATAATAAAGGAGGAAAGATGGGGATACATCATACTCACTACAGGGAAGGATGTTCACACAAACTCTGGATTTTCAACACTTCTGGGGATTAAACTGATCTTATTGACTCTATCTGTTATTACACATGTTATTATAAGAAGTGAGATTATAAATAAAAAAAAGGTTGTTTTTTCCAGAAATTGTGTGAACCTAAAAGTGAGACATTGGGGTGAGCTTCATGCAGTGCCCATCGAGGGGACAGTGGCCAGTGTAAACAGGGGATTGAAGAGGTCACATTTTATACTGGAACCAATGAGACAGACATTATTACTACACAGAGAAACGAGCAAAACACACAGAATAAAAGCTATGGTCGACACAGACAGGGTGGAATGACAACGCAGCAGTGAAAGGGAAAAAGAAACAAATGTTTTATTTGTGGTGCAAAACTAGTCTGTTTTCTCCTGCTCTGTGCAACTACAATACATTTACATTAGCTGCTGTTTTAAATTGGATGAAATGTTGAGCAGGGGGCAGGCTCTGTCTGTACTGGGTGCTGTGGGGTGGGGCAGCAGAGTGAGAGGGACAGGCCTGAGTCAAAAGGAGTTTGTACTGCACTACACAGGACCGCTGCAGAGCAAGAACACAAGAAAACGGAGGAAAACCAGCATGCAACTAGGAGGAAACCCACATTCCTGTGTACAAGGACAAACAGAGAGGTTCTGTGTCGATGCTCTTTCTAACAACTGCTAAGAAGTTGTGTGGTGTCTCTTTTGGGGAGCAGAAACAGCAAGTACAAATAGCAAGCAAAGAAAGTGTCCGCAAAAGACTTTTTTAGGCAACACCAAGCAAAGGTGGAGCTAAAAGGAACCGAAAAGAAAAGGAAAGAAAAGTCGCAAGAGAAATCAGTGTTTTATACGGCAAATTAAATCCAAAGGAAACAAGAAGGAAAGAAACAAAGATCTCACCTACTTACACTTAGTGACAGAGCAAACAAAGACTGGATGGGTAGGTCATAAGTAATAACACAATGCAAGCTAGGTTGTCTCAGTACCTTCTCACTATGGCTATGCTCCTCGTTTAGGGTTGTGCTACTGCACGTATCAACTCCCGAGTCTTTAACCTGTGGTTCACACCATGCCAAGTCCTCTTCAAATGAGTGTCCCCCAAAGCGTACCATTTTCTTTTGCCTCTCAGATAAGGTGTGTGTCGGCTCAGACATAAATGCCTGCTCAATAGTTTTTCTTTTTCCCCTTTGACTGTCGCCTACAGGTGTGGGATAAAAAGAAAACAGAAAAAACAACATGCAAAGGTGTAAATAAAACTAAGGAAACATGAAATGACAACAGACTCTAAGAGAGGGAGGCAGAAGGGGGAGAGAAGAGAGACAGAGAGGAGAGAGAGAGACAGAGAGAGAGAGAGAGAAAGACAGGGATGGTAGTTAGGAGGGAGGAGGGAGAGGGTGTCAAGGCAAGACTCCACATGTCTCACCAAAGACATTGGGGAGGCCTCACTGCTATGCCAAGACGCATGGTCCCACCAGTGGCCATCCAAATCTCCTGTAAGGTGGTGGGAAGGGTGAGGGCGTACATAAGCAAGAGAGGGACCAGTGAGGACATCACAAACCGCCACATATACACACGCACACACGTACACAGACGCACACAACTTCAGAACTTAACACGCGCGCGATCGCGATCACCACGTGCAACTTTATGATCCCTGTGGAGAAAGAAAGATGCAGCTCAAGCAATAAAACATGAAGGATCAATAGTGATTGATGACCTCGACACCGTACAGTAAAAAAAGGACATGAGCACGCACTCTCTGCCACACAACTCTTGTTTTTAGACATTTTCTGCAGGATGACGAGAAAAACGAACACGCGATGGGAGGAAGGAGGGAAAACAACCTGCGATGTTCCTTCGCAAATAGATGCTCACGACCAGGGTAAAGTGATACTGAACATATATTTACTCATATAAACTGAAAAAAAAAACTTTGTTATATGTTGTGATTAAATGAATGTAGCTGTGTGCAACAATGTGGTTTTATTATTGCTGTTTATAGTCACTACTACACATTCAGTTAAATCTATATTTTATTTCTTTCCTATTTGTATTTTCATGATCTGATTCCCAATGAATGGAAGTCTACTTGGTTTATGATATTAGTTAACATTTATATTTATTTTTATATAATTATGTGTGTTGCTGAATTAAACTAATATTTTATTAAATGAACACCGTAGAAAATTGACAGCCACCCAGCAGTAACCACTCCACCAGCACATGTGCTGTTGATGCACTTGCATGAATCCATGCATCTGTAGTGAAGCATGAAGCCAAAGGCAAAGGTACGGTGGATAATATTATATTTGTTCAGCCCTTTAGCAACATTCACATCACATTTCCCACACTTCACTAGAGCTGCAAAGGGCTGTAGAACTTAATGGATCCATACACAACCCTCAGCCTCCAGGCATTATCAGGACCAGGATCCAATTCAAGGAAAATCCGGGCGGTGTAAAGAAATGGCATAAAAATAGTAAATACCAAAACATCCACGGTAGGTATAAAAGATATTAATCTGTGGGGAATGGTAGATTTTTTAGAATTTTATAAAATTATACATTTTTACATGTCCATATAGATTATCACATCAGAAGACAATTATTACTAATAGTTCATCAATGAAGTCTCCATCAATGTGTTCAAGTTACACAATATGTAGTTATAAAGAATAATATTTGACTCATTTCTAGGTTAATTAGTCCATCAATCATCGCATTATATAATTAATTCATTATTTAATTAATGGTGTTGTAATTAAATCACTTAACTTGATGTCAAAGCACATGATTGATATGTATTATATGCAGGTGTACTAAAAATATTTTCAGTGAAAAAATTTCATTTTTATAAAGTTCTCCATCTTTTAGCCTTTTCATCATCTTTTTCCTCTTTTTTCCCTTTTTCCTATATCATTGCATTTCTCACTACTTTAGAAATGCAATAATGTGGTGCCATGAAACATCATAGATCAACCAGTAGGGGTCTTTGCTGTTTGATGACTCCCCTAATTGTTTTATTGCTTATCTATAGACCTTATACAGTATATTCTGTACAAGAAATAAATGACACTGTCAGACCTCAAACTACGGTCGCAAAGAAGCGCCGCCAAAACTATTTAGAAATGCTAGTTCTGAGAGAATTCTTGTAACAATGTAAACTTTGATAAGCTGTTGTATAATCTAATTTAATAGTTTTAAGTGTAATAAAACTTAGAGACAATTTTGTGATGAGATCAAAATGGTAACTAATGAGCAACTTTACCCTCTACTGGATGAAAGCTGCCACTGCAGGAACATGTCACAAGGCTAATAAGTACTTGAATTTGTTTGGAGAATATGCTTCTTTAACTGATTCTAATGTAACTTCAGTCATTGTTTCAGCTACATTCAAGCTTCCCCACAGCCCTCCAGCAGCCTCCTCTGCTCCTCAACCTCACTGTCTGTCAAGGAGGATTTGAGTGGGCGCCATCACGGAGGCTCTTTTAGCCTCTCCCTTTTATTTCCCAGAAGCTTTATCAACAGTGGCACACCACAATTGGGCACTGATCCCCGACAACGCACTGTGTGGTTTTTCAGGGAGCAGGAAACTCATCACAGCTATAAATTGTAAGCATCAGCAGTCTGTGCCCGGCCCTACCATTTCGCCCCGGCTCCGAGGCCCACAAAGTGCTGAATCAGGGCAAAAGGCAGATCAGCAGGCAGTGGCGGAGTTCACCACCAGCAGGCTCTCCATCACTTTGACAGCTCAATAAAAACCAGTGTAAACTATTAATTGGATCATTAATTATTGATGCTGTTTTTACTACAATTCAAGGGGCGAGCAAAGAACAAAGGCAAGGGTGAAACAGTGTGTAGATTTTAACAGCCATGAACAGAAGGTGAAACTGTGTCATGGTTGACACCGGATGGAGGCAGATCATTAGTCTGCATTAGATTAATAAGATCATTTTTAAAGATTGGCAGACTGATGTTGACTAATCCCAAAATATATTGTCATGCATGTAACAACATGTAACAATGTTGTCACTACACATCCACTCTTTTCCTGTCTGTCCTGACAATTATGAGACTGCACGTCAGGGGGATCAATAAAGAGAAAAACATAGGGCGAGGCCATCATGATAAATCAGTCTCTGGTACCAAGCCTGGCCACTTACAGAAGACAAAAACCTCTCCTCTCCAGTCTCCTCCTCCTATCACTCTACACCCTCCTTACAATCCCGTCGAGCACCTGCTTTTTTCTCAGATGCCCCCGGAAGTATATCCAAAATTCTAACAGCGTGACATGCCCCCCTGCTGAGCCCGCTAATCCACACCCATCTCCAATTGTGACCCAGTGAAGCTAAGTGCACGGACCCCTGAGATGCTGACAGGGTCAGAGAAAAAGGTGCTATCTCCCTCTCCTTCATTATCCTCCATTAAGCCTCACATACAATTACAATTGATCTCCTGTGCTTCGCTGTCCTTGTCTTTTTTTCTTTTCTGGTTGATGCTGATGCTTTCGGTGGTAGCTCATCAATCAATCAGACAGCGCTGGTCTACATGTTACAGTACATAATAGTCAGCATAATAGACTGGAGATTAAGTCAAGTCTCAGGTTTTTTAAAGAATGTTCTGATATGTTGTCTTTAACGCAGATGCAAACAGGAATAAATGTTCATGTCAATCAGCCCTGGAGCCCAAACCTGACAGGTCGTGTTTAAAGTATTTTATCAGGGGCTTTTTACTTCCTGTCAGGATCAGGGGCCTTGAGGTGTCAGAAGTTGTTAATGCCCTTTCTTTACAGCAGTGGTTCCCAAAGTGGGGGGCAAGGAGTTATTACAGTCCCAAATAGATAAAATGCATATTAGGGATGAGGTTATTTGGACACTTTAAATTGACTATAGCTATAAAAGTAAGAATAAATGGTCTGTCTCTGTGTGAAACTGACGCTTTCAGGATGAACACTACCCTAACACTGATGCCTGCTGGGATTGGCACTGGCCTCCTGTGAACCTGAAAAGGATTAGGTTGTAATGAATTGATGAATGTTTTCTAATTTATTTAGGTAAGACCTAATTCTGTGCTATCATGTTTGTTAGGGATGGCTCGGTTAGTTAGTTAGCTATGTTAGCTGTCTTTGAGTTCTAGTTCAAGCTATTTTTTTATTATATTTTGTTAGACACTAAATTACTTTTAGCTTTTTCTTTTTTTTAGTTCACAGCAGAGGTGGTCTGAAGAGTGATTTGCAGTGATTAATTTTAAATACTGAATGTCCTTCCTGAAAAAAAACCCAACCTGGGACAGGGGGAAAGGTACCACGAGAATGTCCTGGCTAGCAGGAATCCTACTACTGTGCTACTAATCAGTGGATTTGTTTTTCCAGTCTCTCTCTATTCACTCAAATGTAACTGCAAAGCAAATCAAACATAACCCAAACTACACAATAAATATATATACAATATACTCGCCTACAGAGTTAAAACTGTTCTATATCAATCAGTGATCATTTCAGAAAACCCTCAAACAATGTTATATTTCCCCTATTCTGACCAGTGGAAGCACCAGTCCTAAGAGCAGCTCACTTTTCTTCCTATTTTGGTTTCATGGCTACCTTGAAACCTGGAAACTCCCGCATCAATAATGTAGCACAGACGCTGTATCCCTCGGTGAGAGGAGGAGTTACATAACAGAACAAACTGACTGGATTTCTTCACTGCTCAATGGACAAAACTTTGAGAAACTTTTCTCCTAACCTTAGACACTTTGACTTGTGTCACCATTTTTGGAATAACATCCTATTAGTCACAGTATAATAAAAACACAAACCTTCTCCAAAAAAAAAGTATTATTTACTCAGATTATCCTGTTTCACAACACACCCACACTTCTCCAGCTTCCTTATGTCAGGCAGTTATGTAACACTGGCCATTAGAGCCAGAGACGGATCATGTGAAGCGGCAGTGGCAGGATCCGTCACAGTGAGCCAGCAGGAGTAACAGGAGGAAGTCGGAAGATCAGCAGAAATGCATTTGTTTAAAAATACCAAACACAACACACACACTCATTCAAACTTGCACATTTGTGACTCGTGTGGCCGGGCCTCATCCTGGAGCTGTTGAAGCAACCCACATTTAAGGCTCATTATTTTCATTTTTAATATAAAGTATGCATCTCACGGCCACTTCATTAGGTTCATATCACTTGTGGTTTATTAGTTATACCTATGGCAGATACCTGTGCTACTTAAGTGCTTCGACTTCCAGATGATCTGCTGAAGATCAGTATTAGAAAAAAAAGAAACAGTAAATATACAGCGTTTTTTAACATTGCGTTATTTTAAATACAGCTTATCTAATGGGAATCTTCTAACAGCAATTTCAATTTCAAAAAAAGTCCATAAAAGTGAAATGAAATGTGGGGAGGGAAGTATTATATGTTTATATTACATGCTGTAACTGCTCCATGTTAGCCAGGTAGTGTAATAAATATATTACATTTTAATGAATTAATACTACACACTTACAGAGCAATTTAAGTACTTGAGTTTTCTATGCAGTGCATTACATTTATCTCTGGCAAACCAAAGTGTTCATCAGTGAACATATGTTAGTGCCCAAAAGAATCAAAATTAAAGATAGAATTAGTACAGTATTTACTTGGACGTCTGTTAAACAAATAAAACATTGTCACTGATACAAGAGTCCTAACTGTAAAACCACACTGGCAGCTTCTGAACTAATAGAAAAGACTTTTTTGAATTTAATTCCAAAACAATATTTCCTGCACAGTTGATATATTAACCAGACAAGGTTCTTTAACTTTAAACTGTTAATACTAACATTCTAAGTAACGTCACCATCATCACCATCATTGTGACGACTGTTCACTAAGAAGCGTTTTCCAGCATTATGTTGATTCTCCACTACTGCATATGGGGGAAAACAAATCAAGGCAGTATAAATAAAGGAAGTAGCACAATACCTAATGAAGTGGCCAGGAAGACAAGTTTTCCAATTTGCAATTTGCTGCCAGATTTTTATAATAAGAAATTGTAAAAAAAATGATGAACCCTAAACACCAGAATACGTGTATATTATAAATGACATGCACACAAAGCACACAGACAGGAGACAGAGAAATGTTACGATAGTGTAAGAGTTAACATCTGCAGGAAGCACAGCAGAAATAATATTAACATTAAACAACATGGACATTAAAATAATATTTGATTTATATGTCACTCTATTTCAATAGCTTTAAAAATTGATGAAGAGGTTCTCTGAAGTGTTGTTGTATAATTGTACACATATTATGTGAGGTGATGTACGAGCTTCCTACCTTTCTCACTGACTGACTCACTCTCTATCTCCACGTCCTCACAGCTTGTATACTCGGGGGTAGTGGCCAACTCCTCCTCCGAGCTGCTTAGTGACACCTGCCTCATCTTTCCTCCCTTTTTGGATTTGTGGGGTTTAGGGGGTGGCGGGCGCACCGACTCTGACTGGTCTGAGCTGAGAGAGTCGTTCCTCAGCATGCTCTCCATTTTCTCCCTCTTTGATTTACGAACAGCCGAACTAGGGTCCAAGTGGTGTTGCTGCCTCCTCATGTGGTCTCCACAAACACCAAGGTCTCCTCTCCGATCACCCAGCACAGGGCTGCGATGTGGCGTTGGGGGGCTACGGTTGGAGGTTCTGTGACCTCCAAGACCAGGACCCATTGGTCCTGGTGAGGAGCGGTCAACGGAGTACGAGCGCTGTCCCACCATCGGCGGCCGGCGCTCAGTGAGATGTTGTCGAGACAGCCTGATGGGGCCAGGGTCTTGCTGTTCTGTGTAAGCCAGTGAGACATCACTGTGGCGACGCTCATGCCTCAGACGGCCCACCTCTGCGTGCATCCTCATCTGCTCTTCATACGGCTGTGGCTTCACAGGGTAGCGGGCCAAGTTAGGGTCACTGCGATAGCGCGCCTGAAACTCCTCCTGACGCTGCTGCTGCAGGTCATACTCACTGGGCGGTCCATCTATCTCCTGGTCCAGTGGATATTCCTGTGAATGCCATCGTCCGGGACCCCGCCTGTCCCGATAGCCCATCCTCGCTGCATTTACATCAGGGTACAAGTGTGGGCCCCGCGGAGCCCGCCGAGGGTCCCCATTTCCATAGTCGGACGGTGATCTGGGCATGCCGCCGTCCGTCGGGGCATACTGTGAGTGGTCACCCCCCTCCCTTTGGTCGTATTTTTGGTTTGGATCCCTGGATGCAGATGGGCTTCGTTTCCTGCGATCACAAAAGGTGAAAACATTGAATTTCATCTGTATATATCGTTACAGTTCCATGTATTTTGTATTTTGTATTTTGTATTTTGTACCTGTACCTGAACCAACACTGGCTACATGAGAATGTTTCAGGCAAATGTGCCTTCTGGGATGTTGTGTTGAAAACCTACACCTGGAACGCATTGTTTTCATGCACATACTGTAGAGCATGCACAGAGCAACCACAACCAACATTAACTAAATGCCCCTTGACAAGTTCTAATCCAATAGGACTCAGGTATTACATTTCAGTGTACAGTACATGTTCAGACTAGAAAACACTTCCTGCACATTCAGAGAAATGTCTATGGCAGCTAGCAGAGCACACTGTACCACCATCAGCATCTGCTTCATGAAGCCAATGCTGTCAGCGGTAAAATCAGCCTTCAACAACAGGGCAGTGGTTGGTGCAGCACTACATTTCAAACTGTGCATTATTTCCCCAATGCTCCAGCTGTCACTGCTACTGTAATAGCTTCTCTGCAGATACATCTGAGCTCCCCACAGTTCTGCCATCACACACTCTGCCGATCTTAGATTTCCATCCGTTACACAGTGACACCCAAAAGAAAAAAGGAGGGAAGATTTAAAATACAAAAATAAGCAAGTAAAGGAAATATATTTAAAAATGTTTCATAGCAATGAGCGAAACATGAAAGGCAGAAGTTAATTGTTTCCACATGTTTACACACACACACTTATTGAGACCTTCTGCTAACGCAGGGGTGGGCAATTAGGTCCACAAAGGGCCGCTGTGGATGCAGGTTTTTGTTCCAACCAAGCAGCAGCACACCTGACTTGGCTTAATTAATCAACTGCTCTGACTCTTCAGACAGGTGATTGGTCAGTCAGTGTTCTGCAGCCACAACAGCCCTTTGTGCCCAGGTCTGTGCTGACGTCATGCTCCTAGAAGTGTGTAACAAATAAAGATAGCCATCAGTTATATCTGTAAGTGAACACAGAATATAGTAAATAAATGGACCTCAGCCACCGTTCCACGGTTTACCTGTGACTGAATGCTGGCGGCATTGCAGCTTATTTTTCTCCATTTTCATTCTAATGGGACAACAACTATTCAAAGTTCCCCCACTCCTCTGCTCAGCTGCTTCTATAAGATTGCACCCTGGACCCCTTATAGCACAGCTGTGTGTCCTTTTTAGAAGTGCAAGAGAGTTATACATGTTCTATCTGTGAGTTCTTTTTCTGGGTTAAACAAATGTCCACTGGTTACTTCAACAGTTTGGTTTAAGTCTTCCAGATGATCAATAATCACTTGCAAAATGCTGACAGGAAATAGGACGACGGACATTCTGTTCCAGTTACATACTCCGGGGACTTGATACTGCTGACCCCACACAATGAGGGTCTTTGTCCATCACCGCTCCCGATATAGCGATGCTAACTAAGCTATAGATGTCACACCAAGCAGCAGTACAGACAGGATGCTGTGCAGCAGTGATTCATCCTAACGGATCGAGAATAGAGACAAGACACGAGTGCATGGTAGGTCGTGTGGGTGGTGGGTCGGGGGGTAGTGACAGTGCTGGTGTTCTGTTCTGAGCCAACTATGGAAACTCACTGTGGCTGTGTGGTTGTGTCTGTTAAGAGCAAGACCTGACTGAGTCACTGACACCACACAAGAGGGATTTAAATTAAAAGGTTTTTTTGGCCAGCAGCAGGAGAGTTATATTAATGTTAACTCTTCTGATTGAAGTGAAGACTATGACATCTGTTTGTGAGCAAACCTTCTGTTTCTGCATCATAATGATGGCTTTTAAGAACACTCTCTACAGTCGATCAACAGTGTAAATCCACAGCTCATAAAAAAAAAAAAATCATGCGATTATATTCAGGATTTTAAAATGCCATCCTAAAAGACTGACCTGACATTGGTTTTGTGGTAAAACCTTGACATGCTGTTGTTTTCTGACACATGAATCTGTGAGCAGTGGTAATTCTCTGGTAAACTGTGCTGCGATGAGAAGCAGTCCAGTCTTCTGGTGAGATTATCTACCTCAGCCTGCTCAGATGAACTCCTCTTCTCTCTGATCAGAAACATCAGAAGCCTCCATCCTAAATGGGCCGCAGCTAATGAAGTAGTTTGTCTAACAGTGTCATTTTCTCAGAGTCTTTCCTGCGTCGTCTCTATCAGCCTGGGAACTCTGGATGCCTCGATGTAATAAGATTCAGGGAAAACTGTTTTTTATTTGATTTTGTTTAAAGTCTAAAATCATCCACACATGTTCACCCTCCGTCGTCTGCTATATTATTACTAACATTAATGTGGGTTGATTATACAGCAGGAAGTGGGAAGACTTTTTTTTTAAGAGACCAAACTCAATTTCCTAGAAAGTCTAATTTCCTGCGTTGCTCAGTCAAACATCCCACGACTGTTTCTATCCCTTTAGCTATAAAATATGCTGATGCTCATGCCTCTGAACACATAGCCGGTGACTCAGCTTTTCACAGGAAGTAATGAAACCATGTACAATTTGCAGCTAATCATTACATATATATTTCACTATCATGTAGTCAGCTAATCACTTTACAGATTTTTGAACATGTAATGAAAGACTAATGGTAGGAGGCTAAGCACTGATATGGATTATGTGGGTGATTTTGCCTCCTTTGAACTGCACTCCTTTTCTTGCCTGGTCAGGATGTCTCATCACAATTAGATGACCAGCTTCGTTAAAAACAAAAAAAAGAAAAACAAAATTCCCAACCTTTGTTAATAAGAAAATGTGCCCTAATGTCTCCACAGACACCTGAGAGTTTGTGCTGATATTCCATTTAAAACCAAAGACCCGCCACAGGCACAATGATCAATAAGTGCAAGTCAATGAAGAAGCTTCCTGTAAGTGATGAACCCTTCACAGGTGCTGTGTTCTCAGCTGCATGTTCACCCACCTCCATGCATGTACTGTACTTGATACACTGATACTCAACATTTCCACTGAAATTCCAATCTCCAAATAGCTTTATTAAACCTCTGTATCAATCTCCATGATAACAAACTGCTGTTTAATGATACTGCTGTACTCGTGCCAAAGGCAAGGAAAACCCCTGCAAAAGTACTATTAAGTAAGTACTATGCCTAGAACAAAAAAGAATAAACACAAGTCTATTGGAACATCTTCAGTTGAGAAACAAGGCTGCCTTACTGTAAGTATCTGTTGGATCCTGAAGAGTATTAAAGGTTAAATCCCTCCACAGTTGTTTCGCACAAAAAAAATCATCTTTTGCACAAGCATCGTACCACAGCCGGAAACAGAGGCTACAGTTGCTGCTGTTTAAGTTCTCGTCTTCTGTTAAGAAAATAAATGGTAAAATGTAGATTTGCACTTTGCTCCTCTGACTGAGTAGGAGGAGCCAACTTTGTCCCCTCTTCCTTGCTGCTGTAGACACATGTTAAATAACAAGAAGGAAAAAAAACCCAAAAGCAATCAAGGTGAAAATGCAGCGTTGTCCTCTTGGGGACTGTGCTACCTTCACTGTGTGGATAATAGAAAGAAGTCAAATGAGAACAAATGAGTGATGCTGTGCTGCTGAGCTCGTCCTTTAGAGGTATTCCAGTCCACTAATGACAACAATCCTGGACTGGTCTCTATTGAAATAAGATAACTGGAGCAGAAACACAAGCAGGAGCCAAACAAGCTGAGTGTGCTTCTCTCGAAAGCAAATGAAAAGCAAAAGAAAAAAAAACAGTGTTTCTTACAAAAACATGATTTGATTTTCTTCCATATCAGAATAAAAAATTTGACTGTTAGCGAAAGCATCCAAACTCTTCTTCAGATCTTCTTCAAATAAATAATAATAATAAAAAGAAATCAGTAGCATCAACACAACCTGTTTTGTTTCTGCTGTTGTCCTGCAGCAGCCTGCTCACACTGCTGCGTACAAAGAAATGACACACTTTATGACCCTGCTGCAAAGGCTTTGGGATCCTGAAATCCAACCGACTTTGGGATTTAACATTGTTATCATGTGATCACCACAACAGGCTGGATGTGAAGCAGAGATCTCATCTAACCTGCCAGTGGTTTAGTCATCAGCCCGGGCAGGGATTAAAATCCTTGTTTGATAACTGGGTCACATAAATCACAGGCAGAACAAGAGGTTTTACCTAATCTCATTCAGCCTGACTTCTCAGGATCATTAAACTGAACAAATTTGTTTTGTTTTGTTTTGTTTTACTTTATCAACATGATGGATTTGCAGACATCAAATCAAATCTAGCAATTTTCCCTGCCCGGCATGATAATGTTCACAGAAGTTATTCATACTACTGGTTTCACTCATTAAACAGTTGGTCACTACTACTTTGCTCCTCATAAACCAACTGCTGTTCTGTTCTGCTCAGCAACACACTAAGATTGCACCCTGCTCCAGTCAAATCATCTCCTGCTCAGCCTTCATTACCATTAATTCACTTCTGTGTCTGATCATGAAAGGACTTTAAAGGACTTGTGTTCTCTGATCATGACATACAGTGGGGCAGTGGTTTCCCTGTTCGACAGACCCTAATTGTTGTGGTTGGTTAGAAGTTGGTGAGTACTATTAAAGTCCTCTACACCTCCATCTTCTCCTCTTCAGCCTCAAAGCTTCCCTTGTGTCGCCATCATCCATCATTCACTGCCCCCCCACCTCCCCACCCCCCCCCCCCATCACCTCAGCCCTCCCATGAGCTGGAACCTCGGGTGAACTGCAGATAGGCAGCTTTTTCTGCCGTTGGTGATGGTGAATGTGACAGCTGACTGACGACAGTGTGAAATCAGGGAGGAGAACGAAGGAGATGAGCTGTTGACACAGCAGTTCCCAGGACGGATGCTTGAGGGAGCGGAAACGGTAAAGGACTAGTGGGGGGTTTTATCATCACACAGTCAGGGATGAGTCGAAGCAGGCAGATTCTGAGCAGGTTTGATTAGAGTGTGTAGTCGATGCTACGTTTTCAACCAGTAC